CACGTTCTGTACAGCAACTTTCAGGCTATCTAAAAATATGACTCATGCATTTATTTTGTTTTCCCTTTGTGATCATTTAGTAAGGTAATACTTTTTCACGCAAATGTAGCTCCAGATGAAAACTCGTTCTGTCAAATTAAGAACATTGATTTTGGAAAAAGTGAATCTGCCAAAAAGACAGAGCATAAAAAAGCAGTTTAGAAACAGCGGAAAGTGCTGGAACAGAATCTCTTTTTAGGGTAAAAAAATTAAAAAAACTTTTTTTCACTCGCTTTGTAGCTTCGAATTTTCAAAATTGTTTCGTTAATAACTTATAATATACTTGTCCAATTTCGGTCAAACTTTCATCCAAGATAGTATACAAAAAATTCTCTAAATAGGCAAAGTTTCAGGTATAAAATCTTTAAACTTTAGAAGAAATTCACATTATACGTCAAAATGTAGCTCCAGATTTTTGTAGCTCGAGATTTCTTTAAATGATTTTTGAGCGACTTTTAGCCAAAAGTAGTCTTATAATATATCATTCGACTATTGATGCCACGCTGAGCAAGATTTAGAGATAAACAAACTAAAAAAATCGATAGTTCGGTGTTCTAGCACGGAAATGTGCTTGTGTGTTGAATCGAGTTTTTTACGTCATTTCTAGACATTTATTAAGGAATTCTATAGTTCATGAATGTGTGTGTTTAATTTTTATTTCAGATATAATTAAATTCAGTCGAAAATTCTTCTAATATAAAATTATTTATCTATGATAAATCAGACATTCAAGAAGTCAAGAAATCAATACCAAAAACTTGTTCCAGTCAAAGAAACAGCTGAAATTAATGAGATTACAGCAACCAAAGATGGAACACTTTATGCTAAAAATGTATCGGGTGAAGAAGAAAAACAGTTGAAAGTGCAGTTTTAAATTTAGTGATAAGGATGATTTTACTCAACAAAGATGTTTGCTCTTTCCAGATATCGATGTGTGTAGTGTCTGTTCCGCTTCTTTTATCTATATGAAAATAAACTAGAAAAGGCAGTGAAAAAGATTTTTGTTAAGTTTTTTAGTTGATATGGGAGGTCTTTGATACGAAGAATTAAGGCAAAGACAATGTAGAAGAGATTACAAGTAGAGAGGCCAAATTGTGAATCATTAAGAATGAAATTTGAAAACTGTTTCACAAGGTATCTGAGGTCAGAACAAAGTTTTTTAAGTTCTTTGAGCCATTGGTTTAGCACAAACGACTCGTCTGTGGTGAGATGGATAGATCTCACCGAGAATTATCGATTCATGTGTAATATGTATGTCTTTGCTTTAATTTCAAAGCATTCTTTTACATTAAACTTTACACATCAAAAGTCGGACTTTTGGACTTGAATATCTCGGCGAGTTTGCATCTGGCATTTGAGAAATTTTTACAGGCTACTCAGAAAATAATGGAGAACAATATGTACTGCATAGATTATCTCTAAGCTCACTTTCATTTTTTTTCATCAACCGTACTATAAAGTTCCAACTGACCCATAATTTTAGTTCGAACCTATAGTTTTTTTTTAATCCGTCTGGAATACTTTCAAACAGATCAACAATGAACGAACCTTTTGTCCAATAATTTTATCTTCACTAATTAGAATGATTGTTTAATTAATTTGATATAAATAATTTTATGAATTTGATTAAAGAAAAACTTTGATGATAGATTTTGTACAATGAATAGAAATTTTACAAATGAGAAGAGCTTCTATTTTGTATAACTTAGGAAAAAAAACATAATTGAAATTTTCTTATTTGGAAACAATTAAGTTATCTTTTTAGACAGAAAATAGTATTTTCCATTTTTCAAATGTTGTAAAAGCTTAAAATAATTTGATGATTTAAGTTTGTGATGTTCATTTTTTCAGGAAGTGTGTATTTTCTATTTGAATGTTTTACAAAAATGGTTTTTTCTGTAAAGGGTGTGGGTGTACTATACATAGCATAAGTCAATATCATCCTACGTCGCTTATCATACTATGTCAATCTGGTGTCATCGTGTAAGAACACATCTCGTGCGATGATACACATTGTAAGAACATCACTATATTTATAATTAGAAGATACAGTTCTTCTCCAGATTAACGACACCCTATATATTAATTAGTCTAATTGATAGCGCCATTAACAAGTAAACATGAGGGCATCAAAGAATGTCAGTACCGCGGTATCGTGAATCTGGAAAATAACCGTATCTTCTATTCAAAAATATAGCGATGTTTTACAGTGTGTATCATCGCATGAGATATGTCCTTACACAGTGAGCTGGTCATCAAATCGATACAGTGTGATAAGGAAGATGTTGAATTATGCCATGTATAGTACATCTTATAATAAAAAGGTCTCTAAATTAAAATCCATACTTGGTCATCAAAATCGACTAAGTATTTACTTATCCACAAATATGAATTTATTTAGTGATTGCTTATGAAAATGAGAATTTCTGACAAATGATAGCGTTTCCTCAAATAAACACTTTTTTCGAACTTCGACAATCTTAATTGAACCAGATGAAAGTTGTTTACTAATTATTGCAATTGGACTAATCATGGGATGTTCCCATCATAAAATAAATTATTGAGTTATATATTCAATTCTATAAAAAAAAATGTAATGATTAATTTATTACTAATGAATCATGTAACTATCTTTGGATATCTTCATTGAAAATATAATAAAAAAAAAAGCCTTTAATCAAACTATCGATAAACAAGTTTTCTTATTTATACATATTGACGAGATTTTTATGGATGATTTACTCAACATACATATCCCTAGTGCATTTTTTTATTTTAAAGCTTCAAAATAATATTTTTCAATGTCAACTAGATTCTAAACTGATCTGTCATGCACATAACATTAATAACTTAATACCATGACTTTGCCTATTTTTTTTTTCTTTATATTTATGAAGTAAATAAAACGATTAATCTTGTCATACATACATATTATTACTTACTCTTTATTGAAGTCATTTAGTTCATCAATGAAATAGATCAAATTTATTATTTAACTGAATCAAAGAATTTTATGTTTTTATTTTCTTAATTATAAAAATTTAACTAATGTCTGCGTCAGATTCACAGACGGTTGAACATAAACTCAATAATTCGACAACATCAATAGTTAGAAATCTGTAGCTTTCAGCACTTTACAGAGAATCTCCGTAAAATATTTAAAAAAACTCCATGAAAATGGTATTGCGTTTCGGTATAATTTTGATTTTAACATATTCTTCAGATAGAAAGACTTCAAATCTATAGTTCAAAACACAGTTTAGGTGATTGTCTGTTCAGATCTCAATATTAGGCAAACAAAATTGCGTATCTATTCAGTCAAATTATATAGAATTCTATTAATTTTTAGTCAATATTCTAACTTTGTATTAAATTTTCCTTGAAGCAAAACACCATTTCTCTGTGAATATTTTGAGGAGATGATGAATTTTCAAACATAGCTTTGTCTTTTATAGTATCAAACAAAAAGACATCTAGCGTTTTTCTCTTTCGATTGCTGAAAATCAGAGATCCCTAGCTGTTGTCGTTGTCGGCTTGTTAATATTACATTTAGTTCTCATTAAATCTAGCACGGACAACAGATAGTATCTAGACAAAATCGACTGTATGAATTAAAATGCGAACAATTCTTCCTTTGTCATTCGCCTATGACAAATAATTTATACATTGAATTAAAAAAATGTTTCTATGCTGGCACATTTTTGTTTTTTTACGATATGATTTTCTTTTCTATATTGTTAAATTTAAAATCTTTTCAAGTAACGGAACTGTTTATGAATACTTAACAATATTCTCTTTGTATGAATATACAATGTATTGATCATTTAATTATTTATTTTGTTCGTAACTCAGCATCTGTTGTTTTTCAAAATGGGTCTGTGACTGTTTTCATTTAGTTTAATTACCACACAAGGTAAAAAAAAACCAAGAGTGGTGTCTACTTTTTCATTTTAATTATCTTGAATGTTGGAGCCAAAATAAAAACGAGTTTTCTCTATAAACAAACGAAACATTCTAAGGCGAGTCCGAGAATGGATGATATCAATTCAATAACGACTCTTTGTATCTCGTGTATCATCACAAGTTTTCCAGATGTTTCATTGTCAAGACCATCACAACACAAAATGACAACTTGCGATGCATATATTGAGAAAGATTGACATCATACAATGCGTTATATGTGTACTTCTCACTTTCATTATAAGTCTCAATAAAATACTTCACTTAGCTATTAATTTATATGAAGTCTATGATGATGACGATTAACTTGGCAACTTATTAATTAATTTTCAGTTGTATTTATTTAATCATTTGGTAGAGCTCTTGAGCATAGAATGTTGTCATCAGAATTTAAATATGATATGTCCTCAACACAAATTAGCGATTTATTCGACCATACTCAGTTTGATTTTTATTAAGTGCAATACTTGACAGAAAATATTTGACATGCACGTTTTTTTTTCTTGATACATAAAATAACATTTGTTATGTTTGTTGTACGTAGATGCATGAGTGAGTTTGTTAGAATTTTTTGTAAGACATATATATATATATATATTATTTTCGTTGTATTTAATAATCATTCGTATAGTTAAATCTTTTTCTAAAGTAAGTTTCCAGTGGAAAAAAAAATGATAGGAAATAAAATAAAAAGTATATATCTAGTTATCTTAAATTATAAAATTCTCTTATGAGAAGAAAAAAACGGCTGCTTCACAGGTGTTAAGATTATGATGAGTATCCAAGTTTAAATCAATATAAAAATGAATAGAGAACAAGAAAACATTTGTATTTTATTAAAAGAAAAGAAAAAAAAAGCGAAAATAGAAAATATTAAGTAATCGGAAAGATTACTTTGATTGAAATAAAGTATCGATTGCTTTTTACAATGCTACACGAATTGTTGAGTAGTCAAAATAACTTTTTCTTCTAAGCATCTAACAAAAACAAATATGAATACAATGAATGTAAAAAGAAAAATTTATCGTGTACCTTCGTTAATATATTGGGAACAATATGGGTATTCATGATCAGTAGGAATATTGGCTACCTTTCAATTAATTATGGCATTTACAACTGTTAGCATGGAAATTGGTAATGCAGTAGTAGATTTATTTAGAGCTAATGTTTTTTCAGGTTTTTGGTTGTTTCCATTTATGATTTCAGCAGCAATAGATGCATATGCATGTGGAAAGATAAATGAATTCTTTAATTAAAATATGATTTAATATTGAGTTTTTGCAAGAAATACACAAACAAAAGCAATGGTTGCATTAATTTTTCAAATAATATCAACATTAGTCATGGTTGTTATCGTAGTTTTTTCATAACTTTTATCGCTAATAATTTTACTTTATGTTTGGCGTTTCAATGTTTTCAAGCATCATCATCATCATCGACGTGTAGTACACTTAAACAAATCTTTATTGCATGTGAACTTGCTTTTTCAATAATCTATATTAGTCTTTTTATAAAATGTTATAAGAAAATATCAAGTATTCCCTCAGTAGTTTATTCATTACCTGTACACAGTGCTATTACTAATAAAACATTGTCAAATTTAACACGATCACACCAATCTTGGTCAATATCCACTATGATTAATAATCGATCAAATATAAATGAAAAAATACGTGTTGTATCTTCGATCTATGCATCATATAATAGTACACAAAAAGTATGTCCAAAATTGTAAATATGTCTCACCTTGTATTCCACAAGGAAATATTATTGAATGTCTAAAATGTGGATATCAATCAAATTTAGTTGAACATGCACAACAATGGTAAAGAAAAAAAAAATTTATTATTATTAAAAATACACACAAACAAACACATAAATGTGTAAATATATTTTTTTTTGTTTATTATTGACGTTTTGATCCACCCCATGTTTTGGCTTTTTGTTGTACAGTAGTACGAAAAAGTGGTATAACAACAAGAAGACCTAATGTTGATATAATTGTTAAAAGAAGAAAAATACAAAAAAGAATTTTATCTATTTTTGTTGCTACAACACGCCAATCATTTGTTATTTTTTGATCATGTTCAAGTTCTTTTTGTTTATTTAATAGAATATGTAATGTATCTTGAATTTCATCATGAATTGTTGCAATTGAACTCGAACGTGACATTGAACGATCTTTGAGATGAATTTCTTCAGGAGATAAATGTGTTGAACGTTTATATTTGTTTTCTTCTAATTGTTGTTGTTGTTGCTGTTGTTGTAGAGGTTTTTGTTCTTCTTGAACATCATCATTTTCAATTTCAATTGAATTTGCCTTTAAAACAGAAACATTTTGAAAGAAATTATTTTTTCTTGTTTCTTGTCTATGCAAGAAATATCTATTTTCAATTATGTGACTAATCTAAAATTAAATAATATTTCACTTTTCTCTGGAGAATATTTTATTTCTCTCTCCAATGAAATAAGGTTTTTGTAATATAAAATAATTTTTCGTTTATTAAAAGCATATTATGAAAGACAAAATGTTAGTACGACATACATAATTACATACGTCATCTTCTAATAATAGTATACAAGATAACACTTAAAAAATGTGTCTTTCTTTGTTGTAATAGACTATTAAGTTTTTCTTATAAGCATTAAATGGAAATGTTTTAATAAATATAATTAAACAATAGAAAACTAGTTTAGATAAATTTCATTTAAAATTATATTTTTAGAGTTCACACAATAAAAAACATTACTCTTATTGTTCTGTTTAAAGAAATGGAATCTATAAGATTTACTTACATCAGTTGTTGTTGGCGTTTTAATGCTAGTTTCATTAATATTCATATAAGATAATAGAAGTCCATTAACTCCTGAACTATTTGTTGCATTTTGATTTTTATTCTTATTAAAAAAACTTATTCTAGATCGTAGTTCTCCTTTATTTTTATATATTTTAAATCGCTTTGATTTTCTCATTGTTCGAATAACATTTGCTACTGAAATACTTAATAATTGTTGAAGCCAAAATGGTATTTCATTTTTTTTCGGACCACGATAATGAAGATTAAGAACTAATACTGTCATCATTACTGATACACTTGTCATAGCCATAACAGCCGTTAAATATAAACCTTAAATAAAATTAAAAAAAAAAAAAAACAAACTCAAAATCCCTAAATTCTTCAACTTACTTATTAAGGGAATGTGTTCACTTGTTTCTGGCATACTTTCAGCAATAGCCAACATAAATACACTAAATGCAAGTAAAACTGTAATACCAAGTGCAATTTTTTCACCTGATTCCGGTGGTAAACAAAAAACAAGTAAAGTTAAAATAGATAACATAACACAAGGAAAAACAACTGAATATAAATAATATAGAATACGTCGTCGTATACGAACATAAAATGTTATATCTGGAAATGGTTCTGAACAGCATGCATATCGAACAATATTTACTTGATATGATGTATCTACTAAATCCCATTCACCATTTGGAACATAATTCGATAATTCAATAGCATGAAAACGTTGTTCAATTGATACTTGATAACCATTATAAGTCCAACTACCAAATTTTAATTTACATTCTTGTTCATCATAGGGAAAATAGGTTACGTCTATTTGACAAGTACTTTTTAATCGTGTTGGTATTGGCCAAAATACACTACCATTATGAATAAGCATAGCATTTGCTTGCATTGTATTACTATTGGAAAATTCATCAGCATTCTAGAATGTTTTTTTGTAATCGGAATAGTTTGACAGAGAAATTGTCTTATCTTACATTATATAGAACAATATCAGGTAACCAAATAAGTTTTGATGGAAGATTAAGACGACGAATACCATTAAAATCAGCTGGATTCCATTGAAGAAATTCATCATACCTATAAGAAATATATAAAATATGAGAAAAATAATAAATGAATCTTTAAACATTTGTACCATTCTTGATCTAGCCATACATTTGTAATTAATATTTGATTTTTCTCCATCTAAAAATTATAATTCAAAGCAAATATATTTTTTTTTGATTGTATTATATCAAATTACACTAACCATGTCAAATATTTGTGTTAATGTTAAACCTAATTTCACTGGTACTGGTAGACTAGCATTTCGTACAGGTCGAACGCTATTTGAATAATTACTATAGATTATAGAATTGAATAATAAATTAAAAACAAATCAATAAAAACAAAAACAAGTTTTTTTTAAAAATATATTGCTTACCGCATTAAAAAAAATAAGAGACGTTGTTCATCTGAACAATTAACAAGAGTTTGATTATCACAATCAATAAGAGCACCAAATGGTGATCGAAAATCTTGACATTTACTCACATCTGCTCAAAAAAAAAAAAAACGGTAAATATTATTATTATTATTATTTTTAGATTGATAATAAAAAAAGATAGGGAATAATCCAAAACTAATGAGATGTATATGCAGCTGTTTGATCTCCTCTTATCAATCCTTGATACAGTTTTGAATGACAAATATAGCGATTTATCCTTAAGGCTACAGTAACAACTGGCGATATTGCACAGTAGGCAAATAAAACCATGACAAATGTACATTTCAAACATCATAGAAATAACAAGTGAGTTAATGTTAAGAATGCTTTGTCATATGTCCTGAAAAGAACTACTTATCCAGATTTTAACCAAGACTATTATTAAAAATAGATGAACTCCTGTAGTAAAAGACTATCTCTGATAGTCATGAATGTATAAAAATGAAACGAGATTATGACAACTAAAGATCTTGCTAAGTACATTTATTTTTAAATATCTACCTACCGAATAATGTAGTGTATATAATCGTTTTGAATAATAACAATACTATTAATCGATTATATGACACAAAATATAATTGTCCCATGTTTGTATATTTTATTATAGATTGTTGTTCAATTAATTTTGTTTTATTCTTCTTCTTCAGTATATCTTCGTTTCTTGTTTTTCGAAGAGAAAAAAAATAACAATAACCGAAGTGTTGACGAACTCTAATGTTCTCTCTTTTTGACGCTATGCTTGTCCGCTTCTCCGAGACGATGTCTTCTGCTCTTCTTCACCCGGAGAAAAGAAGAAATGAAGAGCGAAATAAACGGAAAGCGAAGAGATACAGAATGTTCTTGGTGACAACTACGAGAAAAAAAAACAATAAATACAGGACTAAACGGTCTTGCACTACGCACACGTATGTACTAATCATACACATTCTTTTATTTTCCATTTGTATATTTCTGTAAAAGAAAAAGTATAGAATAAATAATTGTATATCTCCATTCATTTGTATTATACAAATTATTTTGACAATAATTCTTACTCGTGTAAAGATGAATTACTGTCGTCATATGGATATAATGTGTAATATATCGAACCATTTAACTAATCGAGACACAGATGTACATACGTCTATTGAGATACATAGAGAGTCGGCAATATTTTTATGATAGATAAGAATATATTAGTGCCTTTGTCAAAAAATGATCGGGTGCATCTGTAATGATAAGTATCATATAAATCAGATTTCTCTTGCGAAATGTTTGAATTGAAAACATCCGTTTTTATTTCTATCTACTTATTAAATTTATACTGTAAGGGCAATAAGTGCAGTTTGATGAATTATATTCAGAACAAAAAAAACAAAAATTTTATTAAATATAAATGTCATAATGAATTAAGACTAATAATAAAAACAAAACAAAACAAAACAGAAGAGATAATTAAAACAAAAAGAAAAATTTCAAATCGATATACATGTTTATCGTTAATAAAAGAAATTCTATTCTCAATGAATAAATATGTTCACATCAGACTCATGTTAATCATTAAGAATATTTTTCTTCTCATTTAAAGATCATTCATTCGAATTCGACTATCCATAGTTATGTGTTGCGATAAACTGTTCGATCTAATGATTATATCATTATCCGTTGTACCATTTAATGTATGTCGAGATTTCAATACACTACGAAAATCAACTTGTTTTGTTTCATTTATTGTTCGACGTTTTGTTAATGTTTGTCCCGTACTTAAATCTTGACCAGTTTTACGAAGTAAAACATGAAATGGATATTTTGGTTGTGTAGACATTGATGGTTCCTAGAAAATAAAAATAGATGAAAATTTCTGAATTTAATTTTTTTTTAAGAATTTAAAGTTCCAATCTAAGAGTAAATTAGATATAACTTATGTGAAGATATTTTTTAAGGATACTTGATGTTATAAAATATAATGAACTGTCATATTTTGTATTTGGAATAAAATATAGATGAAAAAATGATTGAAATTTCCGATTGTATTCTTAAAAAAAAGATTCAACATAGTTTTTTTTTTCTTTTAAAAAGCTGGTTCAAGGGTTTAATAAACTATTAATCTCAAAATTCTAAGACAAGCAAAATTAAACGTCCTAATCATCATAAATATCATTTTAATAGAAGAAGAAAATATCTATCATTTGCCTCTTATTCATTGTGGATATTAGGTGACATATCTAATAAGTACTTTTGCAAGACTCAAATAATTCTACATGTACTTTTAATCACTAACTATTTGATGGCGAATGTAGATGATCATATTCTCTTCACACTCACACCTGGAAACGAATATTTCTTAGAAAAAAAAAAGCAATTTTGACATAAAAACAAATAACGTAACTCAAATATCGTTAAACTCATCACTAAAATCAAATATATAAATAGTAGCAGAAACAATGTCCTACTGTGTTATGAACTCTATATCACAGAACTACACATAAAAACTTTAAAACGATTTAGGATTATTAATAATCATCATTCAAGACAATTTTGCTGAAAGAATGTTCCTGAAATTCCATCTGAATCTGCAAAAATTTAAGTTGAAGTGTGCCTAGAAAAATTTGTTGAGGTGATTTCTCTAAACATTAATCTTCATTAACTCCATATGTGTACTTTCCTTCGTTCTGTTTAACGAGCACATAAACATTTGGTTGTTATAGATGCTCGCGCATTACCCTTCTTTCAGTAGACAGGAAAACAGACACCAACATGCGTTATAGAAGTCGCTAAATGTATCCATAGTCAAAGAATGCGAATCATCTACCGTCAAATATGACATATTGACAAAGTTTTATTTTCTCAATAAATACAAAATCGATAGAATACGGTAATATTACAAAATCTTTACAACGTTCTACGCTGTCGTATATGGTCAGTAACACCGAACGTATTCTAGCGATAAAATATGACTTAAAAACGACCGTATATGGTAATTCATAAGCAACACTAATTCGTAATTACAAGTCAATAAGTTTGCAGCTTAGAAGAGGGTTGTTGATAATTTTTAGAGGTGAGAGGAACAAACGTGGTGACCAGAGAAAAAAGACCGAAACATATCGTGAACCGAATTCTCCTGCAGCAGAAGATATGTCATAGAACGGCAAATGACACTGAAAAATCCGATTTCTCTCTAAAGTTACCATGAAGTTGTAAAAGCTCAGTAGAACTTCGAAAATTATGGGGAAAACACTCTTAATCGAGAAACCTGTTCTAGAATTATATTATTAATAATTATAACTTAAGATTACTCGTGCAATAGGTTTTGGTTGTTGTTTTGGAGATGATGTAGCATAAGCAGGTAGATTTGATTTATTTTGTAATTTATTATTATTTAAAGCCGATTGTCCAATAACACGTGCTCGTATTCCTCCAATATTTGATGAACGATTAACATTAGAATTAACACCATTATTTAATTGAGTAAAACGTTTAGCAACAGGTTGATGCATATTAATATGTTGTCGTTGATACTCTTGTACTGCATTTAAAACAGTTGTCGACTTTGGACTACGACTTTGTTCAATAGATGAATTTATTTGGGATGATGTTGTATTTATTTGTGATGATGTTGTATTTATTTGTATATGATTTTTTATTGGATTAGAATGATGAGTTATGACAGATGTTGTTATTTGAGCACGAGCAAACATATCTCGAACTTGAGCAAATTTTGAAACAGATGATGTTGGTGATGGAGATCGATTTGAATGACATGTTAAAATTAAATTATGATGTATTGGTGATAAACGTGATGTAAGAGGTAATATTGATGATGATAATGATGAATTTATTGGTATTTTAATTGGATTTAATGAATCAGAATGTGATAATGGTGATGAAAAAGCTCCACATGTTGATGGTAATGGTAATGGTGGTGGTGGTGGAAATATATGTTGAATAAATTTATTTGCTTGTTTATTATTATTACCATGATTATTTGTTATTGTTTCAATGGATTTTAATGAAACACAATAATTTGTACGAACAGTTTTTGTAAAAAAATCATTATTAAGTAATTCAATTTGTTGTAGAAAACAAAGCATTAGAATAGTTAAACGTTGTTTATACATATAATAAGCTTTTCGAAAAATATAACCACGATAATATTTTTGTATTATAATAGCAGCTGTTTCTTTAGTTAAAGGTTTTTTTATTAATTGAGTAAAATAACGTCGTTGTAAATAACCACGTATACATGATTGTATACAAATAATTGCTTTTTCTTTTAGTTGTTCATCAGTAATCATCGACTAAGAAAAAAAGAAAAGAAGATTTTTATTTTTATTGAAAACAGAAAACAAGAAAAAGAAACAAACTCGTGAAAATTTTGGATGTCGATTAAGTTCTTGAATAATTATATCATTTGAATGTTTATGCTGACGACGTTTAAGATATAAACGTCCTAAATGCATACGTACATAGGATTGGATGATTACAACAGCATTAACCATATCAGAATAAAGACGTGTTAATTGTTCAGCATGATAATATTTTAAAAATACTTTACTTTTACCTTTAACAAAAAAACAAAACAAATGGAAACAAAAGAAAATCATTTAAATGAAAAATAAAATAATACAAACCAGTTGTCCAATTTTGCATTTTTAATTTATGTAAAATATTTTCACAAGTTTCACGTGTTAATGGTAAATCGATTGTTATTGGATAGACAAGTATTGAATAACGTTGAATAAAATTTGCAAATGGAATACGATGTGAATAACCAAAGCGACGTATTTTTGCCGCTATAGAAAACATAACAAAAGATTTTTTTAAATAAGTTCCTAACCTTGACTAATTCGATTTTATGTACTGGAATACAAAACAATAGAGATCTCGGTTACATATAACTATCCGAATAATGAGATATTTTGAATAGATTTTATTGTAAGCATAAGAAATTTGATTATTGATTAGAAATAACTATTTTTCTATAACATATTCTTACATAACTTTCAACTACTGGATAAAACATGACGTGGTTACAGTTGTATGATTCCATTGTTCAATATTTTAATTCTATGAATATTTCTAAATTAAATTTTGTTAATTTCTAACAAATATTAAATTAATAAGGGAACAAACAGAATTGTCGGACGTTATTCTAACTTAGATTTTGGTTTTGACTAGAATTCAATGAGACTAAGAAAACTCTAAAAAGTTTCGAACTCTTTACATACCTAAACGGAGATATGTTTGCCATAATGGTATAAATGGGATTTTTTTCTTTATTTCAATAAGTGAATAGCTGCAATTTTTTGACATAGAATTTTCTTTTGATACGCGAGTCAAAATCGTATTTATCCAAGAAGGTTCGATCAATCTCGGAATAACATTCATTTAAATCTTATAGCTATACGTTACTGCAGGAAAGGAGAAAAAGAAGTAAAAAATATTTTTCTCTTTTTGCTTGAGAACTACTACGTCAGCACGAACTGACTTAAGGATACTCTCTCACCTCTTTTTTTTTTATCAAAAACTCGATTTTGAGTGGGGCATAAGGTATGATAGTCTCAAATATTTTGTGCAGCTAGAGACATCACTCAACTCTAAATAGCTTACTGTTATAGAGCTATTAAATTTAAGAAAATTTTTTTTTCATAGTAATCATATTAACATTTTTTATTGAGCGTAATGCAAAAACATAAGTTTTCTCAATCACGGCTGTTTACAATCTATCTCTAACTTTATCAGATCAGACTGGAATTTTTACTACAGATACTTGGAAGTATTCTCTAGAGGTAACATCAGCCGTTTTCATTTTTGACTTTGTACTTCAAATTTATAGGGTTCTGAAAGTCAACATGCTGATTTTGGCTTTGAACTGTTCAAACATTTCTTTCATTAAAAAAAAGCAGATTTTCAAAAATGCTCAAAACTACCTTAAAGTCATAGTTTGAGGTATCTCCGAAAAAGTTTTCAGCAGAACCGAATAAAATTTGATCGAAGTCGAAATTGTATCAGATGCAGTTCTATGAAAAACTCTCTTGAAAATTATTGTTCTCGAATGTGTGTCTTGTTATTCCACATTCTCTACTTATGATAAAAATTTCAATCTGATCGATTTTATACTGTTCGAGAATCAGACAATGATCAAAATAAAAGGAGGAGAGGTGTATCCTTTAAGTATTTTCTTATAATCAGTGTCAAAAATGATCATACCCATTTTAGATGCATCTTATCTGGACACTCGAAATTCTAAGAAGATTGACTTTCGATTCATTCTACATCGAACATCTTCACAAAAAACATTCAAAATTGTAAATCATGATCATCAAATACAATGCAGATCGAGAAATCGGTTTATTTGTGTATATTTTTGTTGCTGACATTTTGTATAAGTAAAAAAAGGTTTACATTGAGTATTGTATTACATGATAGATTTTAATGAACGTTATCTCGAGAGTGATCAGACCTTCTTGGATGAATGTGACTCTATTTCATGTATCAAATGAAAACCCTATGTTAAAAAATTATAGATCTGAACTTCTTGGAATAAAGAAAATAACTAAGAAGAAACTAAAAAGTCTTCTTTTCTTACACTAGTATGGCAGATATATGTTTGTCTAGGTATGTCATGCAGTCGAAACCTTTTATAAATTCATGTTATAGGAATACTGGTAGGAAACTATTTACTTAGATAAAAAAATCTACAATAAACGACTAAGATGAATATGTTAATGAACGATGTCCGATTGAGTCAGGAAACTTACATTACAATTTAAATGAGTCTGTATATCGATGTCGAATATGGATTATTACTAGTGAACGAAGAGCAAACAATAGTATTTTAATTGATACAATCATCGATAGATGAATTAAATTTGAATTCATGAAGATATGAACGATTCATATATTAAGAATATCCTCGATAGAAAACTGTTGGGATCTTTATTTAATGCCATCCTCCTCAAAAGAGGCAATTTGTGTTAGAAAAATCTAAATTGGGATAATAGCCCGAAGTTTAATCTTTCAGAAGCAACATGATTTTTATTTAGCAGTTCATTTTTGTGTCAAAATTTTTAATGTCCTCTGTCATTTTCTGCTTGTAAAGTATACATCTTTTCAGGAAAAAGTGGCAAATATTTTTCGTTTTTTTCTGATTGTGCAGGTCTGAATTCTATCGTGACCATCATTCTATATATTTTATTTTCTGTTTGCTCTGCTTGAAAGAGCATGTGAAGCCACAGTGTCTAACAGAACCCATGTTTTAAATTAAGTTTCTTTAATTACTATATAGAAAAGCACTTCTGTAAATAAATAACTATTTTTGAGAGGCTTTCGAGGTATTGAACTTGTCATTCTTTTCCTTCGCATAGAAAGTAAAATTAAAAAAAAAAGAAACTCTTCCAGTTATTGCATTCTAACATACTCTTTCAAATTAAAAAAATTAAATCTATAGAATGAGGACCCACAAAACATTTTTATGCTGTAAAAAGGCTCTTGTTTGTTGTATATCTCCCTCAAACGCTATGATATTGGACTGGAAATTTTACCATAGCCTCTTTACTACAATCCAAACATATCTTCAAACTTTCATATGCTTTAAATGTACTTGACCTAGGATCGGTTATTTATCATTATATTAATCTTTTACTTAATTTTATTTTCATTTATTGAATATATATTCTTGTTCTTCAAGACTAGAGGTGTGCGAAATGAAAAAAATGCATTGAAATTGCTAGAGGAAAAATTTATTCGAATTTGCACTAAAATTTGTCGTTAAAGCTTCTATGTTTTTTTAGCAAATTATGTTACAAAATTACATCAATGAAAGCAATATTCATAAAAGATGACAAAAAAACATGATAATCACTTGCTGAAGTATTCAAAAAATGAATATTTTAATAATGATCGATCAGCTTGCAGTTCAAAGTTCAGATTATATGAACGAAGCAACTGTTCGCACACATCAGATTCTATCATAAAAACAGTTCAGTATCAGCAACTGAATTGTCCGAAAAATGCTTTTTTTTTTTAATACCCAGAGATAGAGGTCTGCGGTTCCACAAAATCTGGAACCGAGAACCGAACCGGAACCGCTTTTTAAAAATTTCTCAGAACCGGAACCGGACCGGGAACCGTAAAAAAAAATTCCCAAGGAACCGCTAAAGGAACCGGAACCGTTCTTCTGTCGTATGACTGCCGACATCGAGTTTTTTCAGAAGAAAATTTTTATTAAAATGATGCACCATGCATATTACACAAGACCTAATGTTATTCTTGAGTTGGGGATGCGAGTCTTCTATTCAGTAACATACTACAGGCACAACCATATCTAATGAACTCCAAGTCACAGCCACACTCAGATAACTAAACGGTTCCGCGGTTCTATGGAATATTTTTGGAACCGAACCGGAACCGCTATNGTATGACTGCCGACATCGAGTTTTTTCAGAAGAAAATTTTTATTAAAATGATGCACCATGCATATTACACAAGACCTAATGTTATTCTTGAGTTGGGGATGCGAGTCTTCTATTCAGTAACATACTACAGGCATAACCATATCTAATGAACTCCAAGTCACAGCCACACTCAGATAACTAAACGGTTCCGCGGTTCTATGGAATATTTTTGGAACCGAACCGGAACCGCTATTTTTGAATCATTGGGAACCGGACCCGGAACCGCGGTTCCGGTTCCCGGTTCGGTTCCGGGTAATTTTTGGAACCGCAGACCTCTACCCAGAGATGACATTCTTAAAAGTAGAACGAAAAACTATTCGAACAGATCAGTTCAGATGAAATATCATTTTCTAGAGCTGAGCTATGACCGTTTTATTGAATTTCCAAACCATTTATTAGGTATTTACTGGAAAACCAAATAATGCAGTTTCGATCTGTAATATTGTCGATAGCTAGGTTTAATGATTCTTGGAATATACTAAAAGTTTCAGTCGAAAAAAAAATATTTATTTGTTAAGTATTGAATCTCCAAGTAAACTCGATTTTTGTGACATATCTATAATAAACAAATATTTGCTGAAAATTCAATATCTCAACGAATTAACCTTCTTTTCGACTAAAATTTTCAGAGTATTCGAAAGATTATAAGATTTATTGACGAACAAAATAACAGATCGAAATTCCGTTATTTAATTTTCCGGTAAATACATAAAAAGTGACTCCAGAAGTCCATGGACACGAACTTTTTCAAAATTTTCTTTCTATTACCAACATTTCCTTGTTTTGAATTCAATATGAGTGCAAGTGACGGATTACAGTCAGAGTAGTTCTCTTGTAAGTCGAGACCAAGACCCTGCTTAGAACTACAAATACACTTAATCTCATATATCTTTATTTAAAACATATAAAATGTCAAACTTCATTGTTCATAACATATATTTCAATGTAAATAATACTTACCGAAAAGAAGAAACAAACAAACAAATAAAAATTACCTGCTAAAATGCCACTATATTTTAATTGTTCAAGAACAGTTTGAGTATCAAAACAACCTGGTATTCGATCATTATTTGGTTTAAAACAACGAACAAATTTTGGTGAACCATGAATCATTTTTGAAAAAAGATCTGTTAATGAATAACGAAAATAAGTTGAAACAGTTGCTTGTACACGATTATGACTAGCATTTAATGGCATTAATGTATTAGTTAAATCTAAATTTGATTCTGTATTCATTGGATTATAACGTTGAGATTCATTTTCTTGTAATGCACCCGTTTTTGTTAATGATAATTGAAATAATGTACTAATTAATTGAACATTAGATGAACGTAAAATTTGAATAATTTCTGGTGCTAAATAATCACGATTTTTTTCAAGAAAACCACGTGCATCATATTGAACTTGACCAGCAAAATGTATTATTGAAAATGAAGGAATTGATTGATGTGTTGATGATGATGCTGAAGATATTGAACTTGATGAAAAACTTGATTTTGAACGAATATATAATGGAGAAGTGGAAAAATTTGCATTTAATTTATCTACTAATGTATAATCAGTTGCTTTTGGAAAACGACTTTCTTCATCAATTAATGCTAACATTCCAACCTAAACAAAATTCATTAATTCACTTTATATACATTTCGAGTAAAAAAAAACAAGTTATTTTTAAGAATTCTTTTTTTTTTCTATTCAAGTAAATTTTAAAATGATATTAAATCGAAACTATTTAGTAGATCGAAGAACATACGAATATAGCATGGATAGAAGTGTAAGCCGATCGACTGAGCTGCCACCGAAATTCACAAGTTTTCGAAGGTATCTTATAACTACACCGTTACTATTCTCGTGAATAGTTGCTGAAAATTCCAGTCGCTGCAACATAAAAATAGATCGTAGGTTTTTGAAAATCTTCGAAAGTCAAGATCAGTTTTCAGAGATGTTCTTGTCTAGTTTCTTATTATCATATTCTCAATAGAGCTCTATACAAAGTCAGTTTCTGAATCATCTTAATTTATTACCGAAGATTCAGTTTTAGTATATGAACTTTTTTGAATATTAGGTTTTATTGTCTGATATTTAATGTACAAACTGATGCTTTTTAGAGATTCCACCAATGTCTTGTCAAATTCAACTTCAAATTTTCTTCAAGCCCATAGACTTTAATAAGACATTGTTGGAACCTTCAAAATGCATCAGTTTTTAAGATTATTATTAGAGAGCAAAACATACTATTCAAAAACGTTTATATGTCAAAACTGAATTTTCGGCAAAAATTTAATTGACTTCGAAGTCGACTCTGTGCAGGCTCTAGCTCTCAGTTTCATTTCGAAATTTCATGTAACTAAGAAAATCTAAATAAAAACAGATCGAAAGCTTTCAGTTGCTGCACAATAATATACCAGTCTACATTTTTCTAATACGGAAATGGTATTGAGAATGGCAGATGAACTATTTCAAAACATTTCGATTACTATGGAAACGTATCCAATAATGTTTGGCGTTTCCTCCTATACCTTCGGTTGTCAGTACCTATGAAGGACGGCGAAGTTGCATAATCTCTTTTCTTCAAAAATATATGCAAATTCTAAAAAAAACTTTTTAGAAATATAATTTATGAAAATGAATGATATACAGTAGAAGATGTCCTAGAAAACCATTTATATTTGAACATAATAACAGATCTGAAACCTTTTTATTTCGAGGAAAAGAGTTAAGTCAAAATAATAAGTTTAATATTATATTGAAAAACTAATAAATAACTTACTGGTTTACTGAGAAACATATCAAGTAATGGTCTATTATCATAAAATGTAAAATCCATTTTAGGTGGTAATGGTAAAACAGCTAAATTTTCATTAATATATTCTTGTCTTTCACATGCAAAAACATGTTGATTAAAATAATATTGAATTTGTTCATTAGCTATATTAATACATAATTGTTCAAATGTATTTGTTGAAAAATTTTCAAAACCAAATATATCTAAAATAGCTATTTTAAGTTCATTATTATCTTGTTCTAATTCATTAATTGGTTGAATTAATAATGTATTTTGTTGAATTGTTGAAATTGATAATGATGGTGATGATGATAATTGTTTTGTATTTATTGAAAGATTATTTGATGATTGATAATGTTTTTTAAGATTATTTTCAACTGTTTGTTTTCTTAATGATAAATTTATTTCACTTGCTGCACGATTTGATAAATTTAAACGTCCATGTTTTGATGAAAAATTTTTTTTATCAATCATTGATATACCATTTGATGATGCAGCAACAACTTTTGTCCAATTATCAATTAAATTTTTAATTGGTTTATCATCATTTTGACAATGTTCAGATAATGATTTATTATTTAAATCATTTATTTTATTCGATGTTCGATTATTATTATTATTATTATTATCAGTTGGATTTGGTGGTGATGGTGATGGTGATGAATTATTACTTATATTATTATTATTATTTATATTTAAAAGATTATCATCAATATCATCATCATTATCATCTTCAGATTGTTGTAATTGAAGTAAAAATGTTGATGATGATGGTGTCATATCAAGATAATCAAGTGTACGACGCATAGCACACATAACTGTTGGTGGTGGATATGATGTAATCATTGTTAGATTTATATTATTTGTATCATATTCTGTATCGAAATTTTCATCAACTTCATTTTCACTTTGATCATCTTGATTATTATTATTATTTGTATTATAATTATTAATTGTATATGATCGTGCACTTGAGTCTTCATCTATAATTATGTTTGATTTATCTTTTGAAATAATAGCTGATGGTGAAAGAAGTGTGGAAATTCGATTAACAATCCATGAAAATAAACGATTGTAAACTATAATAATACAAAATATTAAATGAAATTTTAATTGTATAAGACTTAATTAAGAGCATAAATACAATATAGATATAAAGAATTGGAGTATTTTAGTAGAAAAATTATCTTCAGCAGAAAAAAAACCAGATCTTCTCATTTGATATCATTGTGATAACAATGATTACTATATACAAAAGCTGTTATGGTTAATCATAAGGAGATTGTAGTATTTTCTCTGTTTTAAGACATATATCTTCACCACCATTTTACATCGGTGATGTTTCTATGATTAGATCTGTTACGGTTGAAGAGATAGACGAAGTTCGGATTTTGACTCCTATACCTTAACACCCCATTAAAATCATGCCTCATAAAACTACTATTACTCATCATAATGCTATATTTTATAGAATGTAAAAAATCTTCTTGCAGATTTGTGTCTATAGAAAAAAGTAAAGTAAAGCGTAATTTAGAAAATAATTATAAATTTATCCTGCTAGCGCACATTTCATGAGCAAATTCCAAGCCTAGAACCTTCCGTTATAGTCAAAAAGAAAAATTAATCGTTAGTATTAAATACGACATAAAAGACGATTGTAAATTTATTATGATTCAAGCAATTAATTTGTCTTGAGAAATCATGTTGAAAATATTTTATGATTCATTTGAGTATTTAACACCTTAACTGATTATTATCAATTTCATGTACTATTTCTATCCTAAAAATGAAAGTAATTCTATCTTAATTCTAACTAATATATGTTCATGAATTACACTCTTATGAAGATCCTTCTCGTTTACATACACAAAATTATGGAACTGATCTTTATTTTTTGCTGATAAAAGAATAATTAACTTATTGTTTTAGTAATCGGATTTTATATAGTTTTTCAGAAAATACACAATGATCTATCATAAATATGTATCGGATCGGAGTTTTTGCTAACTGAAACTAAAATTAGACGATCTAATTTTTTTTTCAGAGGTGAGAATACCTTATTTCTAGTATTGAGATGTCAATGAAAGAATTGATCATGGAAAGCTCAAATAATTAAGGAAATCAATAAATACTTAAAATAGGCATACTGACTTTCGCAGATAAAGTCAATAAATTAAACCTTAAATTGAACATGAAATATAATTTAGTTTCATGATCGATGAGTACTGATGTGCAAAGCTATTTCTTCGTTTCTTACCGAAAGAATAAGAAATCAATCGGAAGTCTCCAGAAAAAAAGTCAGAATAGAAATGTGCGAGGACAAGACTTTGATCGAGACGACAAGAAAAAAGTTGTTCCAATCGAAACTAAACATTATAGTTCAATATGTGATAGTTTTAAGTGAATTATCTAGTAAATCATATTAATCACAATATAATTCAATAGAGATGATACAACAAAGTACTTGTTATCGACTAAATAAATTAAAAGAACAAGTATTGAACGATTTCGTTAGATGTGATACAAATAAACTTCGCAATAGTTTATCTTGAGATCGAAACCGGGGTCAAACAAACATAGTTCGGCAAATCTTTAATCTAGAGGTATATCAGGCCCAGAATACTATCTGTAAGTTCCACAGATTCCCTGTCAGAACCAACCTGTACATCTGCATTTGTTTTTTTTAATTTTTATCCAATAACTCAAATTTCATCTTTTCTATTTCTGATTTTGTTTTTCATTGAAACTGCTGTTACATTCGATACATCAATGTACACTCAATATCGATTTCAAAAAACAAGGTCGGTGGTTGTTTTTTGAATAATTTTTGATTGGAACGATGAAGAAAGCTCGAGTTTTTACTATTTTCGAGAGAAAAACATCCGAGTTCATCGAAGTAGATTAAAATCTGTTTGGTCAGAAATTAATCAATCAAGTAAGTTCTTAGCAAAGATTTTGAAAACGAGATTTTCAAGTCATTTACTATTAGATTTTCATGTGTATTATAGCTCAATCAATAGAAAAAAGTCTTCTTTTTTTTTTATCTACGTATATATAAACTTTGCAGTCGCTTCTCTTCAAGAGTTAGAAGAATTTTTCTGCGATTCTCAATCTTAGCAAATTGTCCTTGGAAGGTTCCAAAAGAGCTCCACAACCAGGAATAATTTATCACGTTGAGTCGAATTATAATGTTTATTTTCAGTTTCAAAGGGGCCTGAAACTACTATTTGAATATTTTTAAAACTTCAATTACTATGTTGTATTGGAGAAATTTCAAAAATACTGAAGAATAGTTTTTAAATCACTTTGAAACTGAAAACAAACATCATCATTCGACTTAACGTGATAAATTGTCCCTGATCTGGAGCTATTTTGGAGCCTTTTAAAGTCAATTTTCTGAAACCAGGGTCTCAAGAAAATCGTTATAATTCTTCAAAGAAAGTAATGGGAAAGTGGTTTTAGAATCTCATTTTCAAAATCTTCACTAAGAACTTACCTGATTCATCAATTGCTGGTATCAAAAGTTATTTATTCAAAAAAAAAAAAAACAATTATTGGTATTTTTTTTTTTGAAATGGATAATTGTTGGCAATTAAACTCAAATAAACTATTTTTCTAATAGAAATAACTTACGAGCTTTTGCCATTGCATCTCTTGTTGTTTGTGATTCTTGTAATGTTGTTGAGCGTTGAATAGTTTCACCTCGTGTAACAATATTACATGTTGTTAATGCTAAATCAATTTGTGCTATGTCCAAACCAAATAATTCACAAACAATATTTAATAAATATCGATCTGTTAAACATGTTTTACCATCAATAAAATATCCTTCATTTTGATGAAAATTAATATTTCCTAGATGTAATAGTCCAGCTAATATACGATAAATTGATTTAATTTCATCATATTGAAATCCAATAATTTCAAAACATTTTTCAATTGTTTTAAATTTTTCTTTAAAATTTTCTGATAAATCTTGTTCATCATTTAAATCTGTTTTTAAATATCTATATATTTGATTTTTTGATAAATAAAAAGCTTGTTCATCATTTGGTAATGATGATGCTAAACCATGAAATAAATAATAAAAAATATGAAAATTTCTTTCAGCACGTCCTTGATTAACAACACGAGTTTTTTCTAATAAATATTCTGATAAACGTGCACCTGTAACACGTCCTTGTTTTGTAAATAACATTTCAAGATATTTACCAAAACGTGATGAATTATCATTTATTATTGTTCGAGCATTACCAAAACCTTCAATTAATGGATTAATTTGTAGAATTTTTTCTTGTAAACTTTTATTTGGTGCATTGCCAAGAAATGTTAATTGTTTAACAAGAAAATTAGCTGATTGAGTTTTACCGGAACCACTTTCACCTGATATAACAATATATTGATTTTCTAAATCATGTAACATAGCTTGATAAGTAAAATCTGCTAAAGCATATATATGTGGTGATTGTTCACGTTTTATACATGATCGATAACGTATCATTGCATCTTTACCATATATGGGTAATGCACGAAATGGATTAACAGCCTGAGAAGATAAAACAAAAAATTTGTTAATTCATTAGGAAAAAAAACTATTTATTAGGACTTTAGGGTGTTGATGATTTGTATAGTAAATCTGCTGAAAGAATACTACATTCGAAATAAATTCGATAGGATGTAGTTATTCGGTATTATGCGACGAGATTTTTAATAGGCATCTTTTTATCATACATTAATCAAAACAAAGTCTTGAGTAACAAGAAAAAGAGTGAATCGAAGAAAGATTTGAACCTTAAATTGATGAATTGAGAAGTCATTGCTTTAATCACTGACAAGGAAACCTTTTCAGTTGCATTCTTTCGAATTTCAATGATTTTTTTGTCTATAGATACTAGAAAGTCGTTTAATACACAACATAAAAAGATTTGGATTTCTATTGAGTATTCACTAAGCTAGCGAATTTTATAATGAGAATTAATTCCTTGAAAAAAATTAATTCAACGATATATTAATTCATATTGAGATGTATTTAGATAGATCTTTGAAAGGATGTCATATTTCCATGATAAACAATATAGGCAAAAAACAAATATGTTGAATCTTTAAAAAGATCGAATTAATCCTAGAAAAATAAGTCCCAATAGTCCCTCAATACTTACAAGAAGAATATCACCAATATAAGTATAAATTTGATTTGATAAAAATCGATTATACATATAAGTCATGATTGATTGTTCATCAAAATTTTCTAATTGTGCTAAATCATCTGTTGATATTGAATTATTTGGATAATATGAATCATATGTTGAATTATAAAAATATTTATTAGAAGACTTCTTTTTTAATGAAGGATGACGAACAGGTGTATCATCAGAATTTTGTTCACATAAATAAAATTGTGATGAACGATTTTCATTTGATATTTGTTTTTGTTGTCGTCGTGATTGAGATTTTCGTTTTGTTTTATAACTTTGATTATGATGTCCATTGTCAATAGGTGGTGGTGGTGCTGGTCGTTTATGATTTTCATGTGGTTTACTAATCATTTGTAACATACGTTTTGATGGTTGAATAATTGATTCAACTTTTGGAGAATATGCTTCTGTTGCTGTTTCAATAGCAATTGATGAACATGTTTCTGATTTTCCTCTAATATGTCCATTTTTAACTCCACATGTTTCACGACTTGTTTTTTTAACACATAAATCATAACAACGTTTATTACGTTGAACAATTTGTACAATATGATGACGTGCTTCAATATCATCGGTAGGTATTTGTGTTAGAAATGGATGATTTAACATATATGCAACTGTAGGTCGAGCTTCAAAATCTTTTATTAAACATTGACGAATAAAATCATTAAATTCATTTGACCATGATTCGGGTTGACGTAAACATGGAGGTGGATTTCGAGGAATAGAAACAAGTGCACGCATTGGATGCATTTCAGCAAGTGGAGGTTCACCTTTAAAACATAACATATTATATTTAGAAAAAAAGAACTTGTCAGTGTAGTCCATTTAGGACTAAAATATGGAACTCACATGTCTTCTTTAGCTTCATTATACAGATACAAAATACATTGAGCAAAAAGTCTCTAGTAGACTATAGTTGTTTTTTAAAGATGATTGATTTCCAGAATAACGATCTATCTTATTTTGCGTTACAGACCACGTAAGATGTGATTGATATTCAATCAAAGACCGTATGTCCATAACATTTCCTTCTAGTATATGAACTAGTTTCTTATTCTATTTCTGGAGGAATAAGTAAAAAGATGATGAAGACATATGGTTGAAACTTGTTGCTATTCGTTCGTTGTTTTTCATTGTCATATTCTAGTTTTCTTAATTTTATATTACTTAGTATTGTAACTATTAATTTAATCTCTGTTGTATATATATTCATTATATCTACCGTAGGTCTCAACGCATTATTATATATCTTGATAAGACCGCAAATACTGATAGTGATTAATTTCCAAAGATATAGCTTGATCAGTTTACAATTACAAATCAATGCATCATTATCTATCATTGTTGACATCTTGAATATAAATTTCTATTTGAGCAAGAATCAAAAACTACACTATTTAGATCATTCACAAATGTATACAGTCATTAAAATTTTCAGAAAGGCTTTGGAACGTTCTAGGTTAGTGCTTTCGGTTGCTATGAAAACATACCTAATGACAAAACCATACTCGTTAGTCTTCGATTTTTCACTTTGATTGCTAAGACCTAGTCGTAAAATCTCGACTTAAAACTTACACTCACTGTATTTATTTTTCGAAAAAGATACTATGAGTTTGACAAAAAAAAAAAAAACTAAAACTAAAAATACCTTCAGCGATTTCAATAGCTGTAATACCAGTTGACCAAACATCAGCACGTGTATCATAATTACAATCCATTTGTCTTTCACATGCAATAACTTCAGGTGCCATAAAAAATGGTGTACCAACTGATGTATTACGTCGTCCATTTGTTGGATTAAGATAAGCACTAACACCAAAATCAATTAATTTAATATGACCATCCCCTGTTATTAAAATATTATGACCTTTAACATCACGATGAACAACATTATTTGAATGAAGATGATATAAAGCTTTTAATGTTTCACGTATAATATAAGCAATAATAGATTCATCAAGACGTTCATTTGCTTTAAGCATTGATTTAGCTAAATCAGTAACACTACCACTTGTACATAATTCCATAACTAACCATAATTGATCGAGTTGATAAGCTGTAGATGCTGCTGTTGGGCTAATAAAACTATTTATTGAATTCGTTTCTATTGAAAGAAGACTTGTTTTATCAATAAGTGTTGGTGATGAAACAGTTGAATTACGAGGTGGAGGTGGTAATGGTGGTGAAGCACGTTTTAAATAAGCACCATAAAAACGACAAAGATTTTCATGATTTGAAAGTTCAAGAAGTACACGATATTCTTGTTCAATTTCTTCGAGAACTTCATTAGTTAGATGCATAATTTTTACAGCAGCATTAAAATCAGGATTACGAATATTTTTTGCCTAAAAGAAAATAATTAATTAATACAAAAAAAATGAGGATGTTTTTTGTAATCTACTTACACGAAATACTTCGCCGTAGGTGCCATCACCAATATTTTCAAGTAATTGCCATTCACGATCAGGTGATGGTAAATCATCAAGTCGAAAAAAATTTTTTTGTTGATGATTAGATGTTGATGAAACTGTTTGTTGTTGTTGTCGAGATGGTGGCCGTGAACGAGTACGAGGTGGAATAGGTGGTGTTGGTTCCGGTGGTGGATGATGATGATAAAGTAATTGTGGCATTTATGAATCCTAACAAAATCGAATTACTTGTAATTCTAAATCGATCAGCTACTAAACAAGGAGAAGGACAAAAAAAAACGACGTGATTGTTAACGTTCTTCTTTCATATTGAACGGTTGATGTCGTTTGTTTCTCTTGTTCTTTTAATCCGTTCGGTCAATAAGACCACACCTTATAACCAACAAATCATTAGTGAGCACACGTCTTATCAATTAATTTTTCTTTTCCATAGACAAAACAAGGAAGAATATTGTTTGTATTATCCTTGTTCTCTCTCTTTTTCTTTCGTCCAAAAGATGTTGTTTGTTACAATGATCAAATAACATATTGTATATTGTTGAAGATTAGTAAAGCATGATTTTTGACTTTTATAAAATATATGTCTAACATAAGTGAAAGTCAATAAGAAAAAAAACATTGTCTCTTACTCCATTCGTCCGTAAACATACAGATCGGTTAGAAAGCATAGGATTGAGACAATAATCAAGACTAATCTCTGATAATGAATACTCAATTATTGATATTAGACAAAAGAAAAAGTCGAATAATCTTATCTAAAATAACACGTACAAGCATTAGTTTTATCATGTGTAAATATAGATTCATGTTCTTTTTTTTCTTCTATCACCAATTAATAGACATTGTTCATGAATAAATTAATTTTGATTTCGTTTATTAGAGACGATACCAATTTGGCAAATTCTAAGAGAAATTGTAACAGAATTATTTTAGTTGCTGATTTATCCGAAAGTGTAATGTGTATAATTTCTTCATTTTTTATAATTGGTAACTTTATCACATTAGATTAATTATAATTTGCATTTAAAAATTAAAAAGCCTTTAGCACAATTCCTGCGAGATTAAAATATGAAATAGGATGTAGCTGTTATTGCTCATCACTATGAGATTGTTTTATTCTTTCTATTTTGGGATATATATGTTTTTACTTAATGTTCCCCCAAAATACTATAAGAGAATAGTTCATATATTATAACGAGATATTATTGATAGATAGTCTTTGATTGTAAATCAACAACAACGCCTATTACAGTCTATGACGTTTTCCTGGATACATCTGGCACGCTTTGTAGGAGGGAGAGATCAAATAAAAATCACTTATTCAACGAAAATTTTGATGATAGGCTTTGGTAAATAATGAGCATTGTTCAAGATTGCCAGTCTGAGATATTTTTTGCATGTTTAAGAATATTTTAGTTGCTGTTTTTAGTATTGAAAATAATATTAGCTGAAACCTATAGATTAATATTTTCTAATTCTTAAATTTTCGAAGGACAGCCGTGTTTTATCAAAGCTTTTTATGCATCAGTTTCGCTAATATTTGTTTGCTTTACCAGAGAACTTACTCGACTGAAATACTACATACAGCCATCTATGAGGATTTGAATGATAATTAGAAGAGCTTGATTCAAATATTTTACATCAAAACAATTGCTTCTAAAAAATTATTATTGTTTAAGTTAAAAATCATATTATAATTTTAGTTTTCGTTGGAACTAGTTTTTATATCCACTTCTTTGATTTATTTTCTCTATGAAAGCCTTAATATTAATTGCTGAATACTGAGCAAAGTTACATCTGGAAGTTTTTCGATATCAACAGATGTCATCATCATAGATCAGACTCAAGATTAGAAAACATGCCACATGAAGTTATCTGTTGTTACAATTAGACCATCATGTCTTATCTTTAAATGAGGAATGTTGGAATGAAAACTGCTTCGTACTGTTATTTTTATTGAATCAAAAGCAAGAAATAGAAATTATAATTGGATGTCGAATAATTAATAACATCACTTACGGGTTGTTTTTTTTCACAGAAAGGTTTCATATTTGCATTTATACTATTGAAATCAAACCATTTAGGTGCTTTATCAATCTATTACATGAACTGATAAACTTTCAGTAGTACATCATATATCTTGAGTTTCTTGTAAATTTAATTTGTAAATTAATTAAATAGTTTAAGTCTATCTCATATGAATCGATTTATTCATTCATTGATTCGTATTTGTTAGTGTAGTTTTATTCATAAACTCGAAATTCATATATATGAAATTATCTTCAAATAAATCATCTGTTTCATGTCCTACAAATTGTGACAATTCTTTTCATTTTTTCCATGAATATATTGTTTTTTATCCTGAAAGAATATTGAGAAGGAAAAGTCTTTTCTTTTCCATGCTGATTTTTCTCTCTTATGTAAATCTGATGCTACACAGTGTAGTATATACACGGTGCGTTCAACAAGTTCTCGGACTGATTTTATTAAAAAACAACAAGAAGTACTGTTGCGTTAGTATTCTTACCTATGAGTAGTTCATGCATTTATGTATCTATAGACATAAGAAGCTCTGTTGTACGAAGCATATATATGAAAAAATAGAGATACATTTTAGACTACCATCTACACACTGACATAGAACGCACAGCTTGAGTAAGGCCGTGTGTTTTGAAAGAGTATCGATCATTCAAAATTTATGAATATATTATGGCAGTTTACAGTAATAATGCTCTGTTATATGCTACGATATTTGAATGAATTCATCGTTGCAAACACGAATAAAGAGCTATTAATGATTGTTCTAGATATGGTCCACGTGTTATTTATATCGTATCAGGAAGTGTAACATTTTCGTGAACTGAATTCAGTCCTATGTCTTTGATCGTTCGAAATAATCTGTATAGTACATTTGAAATACGAGCTGTGTTCGGTATTCGTCCAGATGCGACTCGATCCTCTTCGATCATCAGGCTTCCAAAATCTTTAATAATTAGGTTATTTACATCCAAAAGTATTAGCAATTCATGATAATCCTTCTTCAAAATGACAATCTCATTCAGAAGCTGGAGTGATCGATGGGGAATCGATCAACATAAACTGCTCCCACACGTTCATACCTATTATATGAGATATGGTCTCATCGAACAAGAAATCTTATCATAGAACGATGATCAATTTTCTTGATTTTTTGGCAGTGTGTAGAGAGTGATCTAAAATGTATCTCTATTTTTTCATATATATGCTTCGTACAACGGAGCTTCTAATGTCTATAGATACATGAATGCATGAACTACCCATAGGTAAGAATACTAACACAACAGCACTTCTTGCTGTTTTTTAATAAAATCAGTCCGGAAACTTTTTGAACGCACCGTGTATGTGAACAATAGTAATAATAAATAAAAAAGACAGCAGTTGACATTATACTAATCACCAAATAAACAGAACTAATGATCACATGGATTGGTTAAATGCACGATGCACAAAGAAATCTAAGTTAAAATTTGTTTTGCCAAGAAAGTAGTTGCATGCATAATAGCTTAGCCAGATAATAATCATTCCACTTAGAGAACTTTTCAAAGTTTTCTCTTAATCTAGTCAGATGTCTAGATCGGCTAAAACAAACATGATTGTAGACTCCCATAACGCAACTGAGAGTATACTTGATCGTTATAGACAGTAGCTAATTTCTCTCAATCAAGATATTCCTGAAGAAAATAATAATTTATATTCTTGTTGGAAAATAAGTCCGATCATGAACAATGTACGAGAAAATGACTTCAAATGAAGATTGTGCATACATACAGATTACAACGCTGTATGAAATGTTCAACAAGCCATATAAAACAATATGAACAAAGTGTCATTTTGATTAGTTTAGTTACAGTTGATGAAGACACATTCAGTCAAAATTCGAATCAACTAAAACTTTCCTTTATGTATATTCAGATATTCAAAAATATTTGTCTAGCAATGGAATATAACTAGCATTTCATTAAGAACTTAACTACTTATTATCGGCATGATGACTATGGTGCATACGGAACAAAATGAGGTAAACGACATTATCATCTGTGTGGATTTCTTCATTCACGATTTATGCTGTTAAATTAAGAAAAAATATTCAAAATAACTGAGTGACTATTCATAAAACATCTTTTCCTGTACATCGTAGGCAGTACTTATTGATTTCAGACTTTAAGAAAATTATGATTAATATTGTTGAGTAATCTTTTGTCTCAAGAAGATGAGAACAGCTGAATATATTTTCGATTACAGTTGATCAGTTCAACGAAACCGAACGACTCTACCATGTATTACTCAGTCACACAATTGATAAAGATGAAGAAACTGTTTTTTATAATAATTCTGAATGCGTTCGGAACCATCAAGGCTATTGTAAGAAGGTACTTCTGTATTAATAGGAAATATGTCGTCTTGAAGCAAATCAATTTGATTGAACTGTTTCCTACAACAATATTGTTTTGATGCATTATCATATGGAAGACTTTTCAAAAGTACTTTCATCACATTACCTTCAATATAGGCTACTTCTTGTGAAAAAATTGCTCGAGTGTGTAAAAAAAACATGAAATAGCACTCGAAAGCACGTACTTTTGTTTTTTCTAAAAGACACTGTGAGAAACTGAAGGAGTTGCTTTATGACTATCCTTTGATATTGGTGTTCATTGAACAAATTCATTACTTCAGTCGTACTTCTATTACTACGAACACACACTGTTCTATAGTGCTCACACAAAGAGAAGAGAAAGAGAAACACACATAATCAAGAACACTACGATAAGAAGGAAGCTACATAGAAGAGAAATGAAGTGTACTGGTCATTTACGTTTACAAATACTTGTTTTCTTTGAAAAAAATTCATCTTTCGAATGGTTTCTAATTGACTAGCTACTTCATATGAAAAACTCATTGAAGCGTATCAGATTATTGATGAATATCCCAAAGCGTTTTCATAATACAGAAAAAACATTTAAAATTAAGCAAAATAAAATTTCTTTCAAACTTGCTTCACTGAATGATGGTTTTATAATATGGAAAAGCACTCAAAATGACTTCCTATTTAGGAACATATAAAAAATTTCTGAGCGCTAAATAAAAATTATCCGATAGGTATTTTGCATAGATCAATGACAAGCAATATTTGGAACATGTATCTCGAAAAAAGTTAAACAATT